TGTCTCTCTTTCTTTCTTCTCCTCTCTCTCTTTTTATTTTTTTCAGACAGAGTCTCATTCTGTTGCCCAGCGTTAGCGTGCCTGGCGTCGAGTCAGCGTAGCTCACAGCACTCCAAAACTCCTCGGGCTAAGCAATCTCCTGCTCAGCCTCCAATAGCTGGGAACTACAGGCATGCGACCACCATGCCCGGCTCCATTGTGTTTCTATGATATTTTTAGTTGGCCATTAATTTCTATGTTTTTGTAAGAGATGCGGGTTGCTCTTGCTCAGGCTGGTTTCGAAACTCCTGAACCATTGGAGCGATCTCTCCGCCTCGGCCCTCTCAGGAGTTCTTTCATTTTTGCAGGTACAAAGGGGCCACTATGGAATTCAAAGGACGGAACTCTTGCCTGGTGACCGGGACAACCTGGCCATTCAGACCCGGGGTGGCCCAGAAAAACATGAAGTGACTGGCTGGGTGCTGGTGAGTACACAGAGCTGGCAGGGTGTTCATTCTTAGGATTAGACATGAACAGACCTGGCAGAGGGTCCCCCCCGTCCTGCCCGGCTGGAAGCCCCTGTTCTTTCCCATGTCTTTGGGCCAGCCCTCCCATGAGGCTGCTGCTCCTCTTCCAGAGAGAACCAAAGGAAGAGTTGAGGTTTACTGGAATGTTTTGAAAACAACCAATGAATTAACAAGAACTATTTTTCCCCTAAATGTTCAATGCAAAATCCTCACTAAATAACCCAAGCATTAATCAATTATTAATAATAACCTTTTATTTGACCTTTGATATTCATGGCTAGTACTTAGATCATATACTCCATGAAGGTTTTCCTCAAACTGTATGTACACCTATACCGTTTTTAACCTAGCCAATGTGATCATAAGCTGTCCGTGACATTTCCTCAGAGTAGGAATCATCTCTTTGATTTTTTAAAAAAACTCACCATTGTTGCAGGCTTAACATATTTTTACTTTGGAACTCAGCTGCTAAATGTGTATGCATGGAGAGGTTACAAGTAAATTTCATTCTTCTGTGTATTTTCCAAAGTTTATATAATAAACATAGTTTGCCTTCTAGAACAAGGAAGGAGGACAGTATTCGTTATTAGCCTTGAACCAAAGAAACAGACTGAATATGGTCATTCTCTAAGTGCCCTAGCACAGAACTTGCACTACTTCTCTCTAGCAGTAGCTTTGCTGCAAATCCCCTGCTCATCTTAGCAAACTTAGGACAGAATGACCTCATCGAAGCCACTGAGAAGACAGGACCACGGCAGAGGAACTAAAGGGCCTTTTTCTTTCACAGGTGTCTCCTCTGAGTAAGGAAGATGGCGGGGAATATGAGTGCCACGCGTCCAATTCCCAGGGACAGGCCTCGGCATCAGCGAAAATTACAGTGGTTGATGCCTTACATGAAATACCGGTGAAAAAAGGTGTGTAGTAAGTCTCACAGCCACTTAAACACGACCAGTGCTCTCGCTTCCTAAAGAATAGAGCCAGGTATGAAAGTATCACACACTAAGCTACTCATGAAATTCCGTAGCTAGGAACCCGTAAGGGTGGAAAGCATGCCATTACAATGAAGAGCACGATTCCAAAAGAACATCTGGATAGTTGATGGCCATTATTATGACTTCGATGTTTTCACCTTATCTTCCATAAGGTGATTTGATTCTTACATAAGAATCAAAACTCAAAAAACTTGACTGGAATGCTTATAGTTCCCATAACTTTCTACCTGTCTACATGGCACTTTTCCTTTGGGTTGTGACTATTATATTAAATTCTCATTTAAAAGGAAATTATTATGGGCAATTGTGGTCCTTCGCTGTGTGAGCTTTTAAAAGAAAAAGGCAAAAAGGAGAGTTTATAGGCAAATGCCCAATTCTGTTCTGCCTCCACTTAACTGCCAAAAAGCTTCTTCTGAAGAACCTACCCTGAGAGTGTCCTAACAATGCTAGTTTACATTTATATGGTTCTATTATACTGACATCTGAATTGGCTTATCCTTATGCCAAAAATAAGAACAAAATCTGCTGTCAGCTTTTGTCAAGCCATTCCACTGTGCGGGTCACTCAGCTGTGGTATGAGAGGAAATATCAAGTAAAGATGGAAAAACAGAGCAGTGGCTAAGAGTTGAGTCATGTTTGAGTCTTGGCTCTGCCACTAATTATTCTTCCACTTGAAATTCTGAATGAGAGCTAGACCACAAAGGAAAGTTCCTTAGCGTCTCTGGATCCCAATTTGGTCAATGTGCTCTTCCAGTTCTATGGTAAGGCCCACCTTTCAGGCATTGACCAATACAGCAAAGTTCAAATCCCACAGAGCACCCCAGCGTATCTTCTGTGCAATTACTCATATATCCTTTATCCCCACATTTTAACATCTTCATTTACTTGGAAACACTAAGCTACTTGACAATTAGAAAGTCAACCGTGTCCCTATATGTAACTAATCTTTTTTCTTTTTTTTAAACAGGTGAAGGTGCTGAGCTATAAACATGCAGAATATGTCTTAGTCTGCATAGCTAAAAGTAGTCATGGATAACTACAAACCCCCCCCCCATTCTTGCCTAATAACAAGTTTCTATTAATCCAGTCTACTAACACTTTATATTCACCGGTCGGACACAGAGAGACACAAAATAAAGATAACACGTGAAGACTATCTACAAAAATTTATTGTCTATTTACAGAAGAATGAAAGCCTGCATGTCACTAAACAAAACAAATAAAATGCTTTTTATTGCAATGCAGTACACATTTGTCATTTTTTGAAACGCCGTATCACAGAGACAAGACACGAAGGCATTTACAAGTATCTTGTTGAGCATCTTTTAAAAAGAGTTAAACACTCATCATTCGAGGTGCAATACTCATCGACATAAGTTCCTGAAACAACAGTTTGCACGCATAAGGCATTCGCACCAAAGAAATCTGAAAAGGAAAAACAAACAGTAATTCAGAACTGTTGCACAGTGACCCCACTGCCTCCCCAGGAAAAGGTAAAGATGTGGTACTGCAGATGATGCATAAGGACACGGGCTGGGAACACTGATCTGGCCACCTCGGCTTATGCTTTGGTATTTTACCCCTTCTGCCTCAACTAAAAGGTTTAAGAAAAACTCATTGTTTATAATTCTTTGTATAATGCCATCATCCAAAAGACGAACAGCTCAGAGAAATCAGCCCACTAAAACTTACACTGCTTTTCGGAAAAAGCAAATGATCTCTTTCCTCAGTTGAGAGTCTTATAGAGGCATGCTATCAAAATCTGCCTGGGTCATTAACCCAGCATGGTTATAGTCCAAACAAGTACCAGCTGCCAGTAAGGTCCACACACACCTGGGTCTTATTGCGGCAGCCCCTGCATTCGTACGTGTGCGTCCTGGTGTTAGCAATGGCCATTATTCCACAAAGATTGCAAACGTGAACCTGATATGGATCTGACGCCTCAAACAACCTTTCCCTTAAAAACTGGGCTGCTCCATGGGCAATCTGACAATCTCGTTCCATTTCTCCAAAGCGCAGGCCCCCATCCCTGTTAAGGGAAAAACAACAGACTGTTTTGCACTGATTTTTTTATTATCCACACAACCTTGACTAAGGGCAAAGACATAGAATGACATTAGTAAAGAAGGAGAACTAGGCCCTAATGTTTATACCCTAGCATTCTCTCTTCTGGTGAGGAGGGGAGAAGTCTACCAACTACTTTATGTGCACTAGAAGGTCCCCAAATGGGGTAGATACATTAGATTCTCAAGTATAGTATATAATTCTCCTCACAAAATACAAAGAAGTACAGAGTAGAGGCTCATCGTGCTATCATTCAGCTTTCTAGAATTCAACTCCATACTCAAAACTGAATATTAAAGTCAATCTAAATAAAGCAGCTTTTCAATGAATCTCCCAGGCAATCAAGCCTGAAATGATAAATGTTGGCAGAATGGAAAGAACAGGTGAATGCCAAGTTTCCCCGACACAGAAGTCAAATGTATTGTTCAGATGCCCAGGCTAGTGGATGTGATGGCTTCCTTAATATTTGTGATACATAAAAATACATAAAATAAAACAAATGGGTTTATAATGATATTACAAAAAAAAAAAAAGATCATCGGTCAACTTTGGGGAATGCTAGACAACCAGCTCATTATTTTCAAAAGTGGTAACAGTCGTATTCTCTACTCAAGTGAAGGGGGGGAGACTGGACATTTCAAGTAAAACTGGACATTTTCCAGTTTTACTTGAAAATATCCTTAATGAAGCAGTACAAATAATTAGTTTTATTTAACCTTGACCCTTGAGTGTACATCTTTTTAATAACCTGTGACAAAATGAAAGTTCTCATAAAGCATTTCTACTGTATAACGAAGATGGTTGTCTGGAAGAAAACCACTCGCACAATTCCGAACTAATCACTTTTAATACAGAACAGCTTTTTTTACTTGAAAAGGCAGCTGACGCCAACTAAGTTAACTCATCAGCCTTAAAACCCACGTTGTTAATTCAGACTTAAATGTTTGGTAGACAAAAAAACAAGAAGAAATAAAAGCAAATGAACAAAGTGAGTCTTTCACTCCAAAGAGATAGATCTTTAGACTTGTGAAAAAGATTAAAATTTTGGGATTTCAAGCTAAAAGAATTTTTTTTTTGAGAGCAAGGTCGCTTGCTGTCTGCCCAGGTAGAGGAGTGCCTGGCGTCAAGCCTAGGCTTCACGAGCAACCTCAAACGTCCTGCTAGCAGCGAGTTCCTGCCTGCCTCAGCCTCCCCAGAGCGGAACTACATACAGCAGGTGCACCGACCATGCCCGGCTAATTTTTCGTATATGCTATTAGTTGGCCAATTAATTCTTTCTATTTTATAGTAGGAGGACGGAGTGCTCATCTTGCTCAGGCTGGTTGGCGAACTGCGCTGACCTTGAGCAAGTGCCGGCCTCGGTCGGGCCTGACCCCAGGGAGTGCTAGGATTCCAGGCGTAGCCACCACGCCCGTCCTGATAAAGAATTGTTTATTCGAGAAGAGAAGTTCTATCTGCACTGTGGCCTTGCCAGGCTTGCCCTGGTTACTGGAATGGCTTTCTAGAACATCGCATAGTAGGTGATATAACCAACCATGATTTTTTCTGTGTATGAATGAACACGTTCAACATTAAGAGACTAACTAGTGAAACAATAGGTTCAAAGATAACCAGCTTGATGATGTACAAAATTAATAAGGTGTGCATATTATATCATGATGTTGGTTAACATAGTAAATATAAAAGGTTCACTAATGGCGTTTCAGACTCTGCATCACAACCTTTAAGAAACTACAACTTGTCATTTTGGTGTAGAATCAAAGAAGAATGTCCACAATTACCTGAAAAATAAAAATATTCCTCCCTTTTCCATCCACATATCTATGTGAGGTCAGATTTTCCTCATGTATGTATATAAATATAAAATTATTAAATATTATATTTAATATAAAATAGATTAAATATGTTAATATATAATTAATATAGTTGATAATATATTATATATGATATACAAAAATAAAATAATAAAATAAAACACTGCAGTGGAATGACTGCACAAATAGACACAAGAATCCAGCTGTCTTCTAATAAGCCAGCTCATTAAACAGATTTGCAAAAATGTAAACTAATGTGCATTTTGTCAAATTTATTTGGAAAATATATTTATTTTTCATTAAACATGTTATTTATGTTAACATGTGATGAGTTTATTAGTGTTTTTTACAATGAATTAAGAAATATTTAAAATCTTTTTCTCAGTTTTACTTTCTAATAGGATAAATATCAATAGATATAATTCACATAAACAAAAGCTCTTTGGGGTCCTGGGACTGAAAGACTTGAGAACCACTCTTTTAAAGATATATACTGAAATATTTACTGAAGAAATTATATGATGTCTGGACTTTGCTTAATAATCAGGGATTAGTGGGAGGGGAGATGGATACAAGAAGACTGGCCATGAGTTGTTAACTGCTGAAGTGGGGCCACAGGTTCATGGACATTCCTTAATACTACTATGTCTCTGTTTGTATGTGTTTGACACTTTTCCCACACTAAAAGGCTAATTAATAATAATGATAGGCTGGTCCAATGGTAGTGGGTTATCACAACCTACAAACATTAGTGTCACTAAAGTTGGTATTCACCCCCCCCACTAAATTTGACTGGTTTTAAAATTCATTAATTAATTAATTTGATTAAATAAAAAATAACAACAATGCTGATTCAGCTCCCTTACCGAGATCTCCCCTCCATGGGCTGTCTGTTAAGGATCTGAATGGGTCCCCTAGCACGAGAGTGAATCTTGTCATCCACCATATGCTTCAAACGCTGGTAGTAAGTGGGGCCAATGAAGATCTGTGATGTGATTTTCCGACCCGTGAACCCGTTGTACAGGACCTGAAACCGACATGGATTTCAAAGCAGAGACCTAAAATTCTAGACAACTTCAAAGAAGATATGTGTATGTACTATATAATTCCATTTATAAAGAAACAAAAACAGACAAAACCAATCTATGACGTTAGCAGTCAAGAAGAGTAGTTAGCTTGGGGTGGGAGTGGGACGGCAGCGGCCGGAAGGTGCTTCTAGGCCTAAATAGGTTCTGGGAATTTTCTTTTCTAGATCTTGATGCTAGCCACACAGGTGTGTTCACTTTGTAAAAATCCATCAAGCTGTACATTTAGGCTATGTGCACGTATTGGAAGTAGGTGTTACACTTCAATAAAAGGTTGTATCTTTTTAGGAATAAAACTGCACACATACAAAAACAATGCACGTAACAAATTACTACTGTGAGAGCAAACATACCTCATTTCCTCTGAGATGGTAGCCATAGTCAGATAAAAGATTCGAAATCTTCTGCACATTAACAGCGTCATTAAATGGAGTGGCATCACCAATTTCACCTTTATTAGCCGATACCTTTAAAAAAAAATACTCTTTAAAATGCTGCTTCATTTTGTCTCCCCTTAAAAGTCATATATCAACAAAAATATGCTTGGAACAAAATCCTTTCTATAATGGAGAAGATTTTGAACTTTAAATCTATGTTATGGAAAGCTATGCTATATTAAGGTTCACTTTTTACCTTATACAAAATATTTATAACAAATTAATTTACATAATAAAGAAAAACTCAATCATAAGAAATAGAAATCCATCCATGGGATCAGGCACAAAAAGAATAAGACTTAAAATATTTCTGATAGCTCAAGGAAAATAATATTTTAATGCCCTAAAAACCAAGCTATAGCCATTCTACCTTAACAAGATATTTAAAAATAGAAAAGATTCACTGAAAGATGCATGCATAGCTGATAATACAGCTATAAAATTATTAAGTTCACACTGAACCTAGGCACTAATGAATTAACTCTTCATCTATAGGAAAGCAGTCAAAAGGATAACATTTGGATGAGCGACTGGATGTATTAATAGTATATCTTGGGGGGAGAGGGGCATGGGTAATACACGTAACCTTAACAATTTATACCCCCTATAATACGCTAAAATAAAATAAAACAGTATATCTTACAAAAATTCTGACTTGACCATAATTTTGTAAATGTCTTAAAAAAAAAAAGCAGAATCATAACCAATTTGAAAGAGGAAAATAAGTATCATACTAGCTTTTTACAAAGTACCCTCGCTCGAATATGAGAGAAATCACCTATTGTCATTTTGGAAGAAACATCAATTTGGAACCTATATTTTTGAAAAAAATCTCTTACC